TATTAAGTTATGGCTGTAGGTCGTCCACAGGGTACAGCTGTTTATAATGTAGCAGAATTTTCAAATAGATTTGGTATCCCAGTTATTGCTGATGGAGGTATACAAAACGTGGGTCACATTACAAAAGCCTTAGCATTGGGTGCATCTGCTGTAATGATGGGTGGATTGCTTGCTGGTACCACAGAATCACCTGGTGATTATTATTATCATGATGGCCAAAGATTAAAAAAATATCGTGGTATGGGATCATTGGATGCTATGGAACGTGTAATCAACATTAACACTGTCAGTAGCACTATTATTAATAATAGTGCTAGTAACAGCAATAATAATGGTAGTATCACTACAAGTAAAAGTAATAGTAGTGGTGGTGTTAGTATTGTTGGTGGTGATGACATTGATAAAGTTGACAATGCATCAACAAAAAGATATTATTCTGAAAGAGATGTAATTAAAGTTGCACAGGGTGTAACAGGTTCAGTAGTTGATAAAGGAAGTATTAGGAAATTTTTACCTTATCTGGTAACGGGTCTACAGCATGGTTTGCAGGATATTGGTGTTAAGAGTTTAACACAATTAAGAGAGAATGTTAAATCTGGTAAAGTTAGATTTGAATTAAGAACCATGGCTGCTCAAGTCGAAGGTGGTGTACATGGATTATATACGTGAGTATTATTATTATTATCCTTTTTTCTTTGTTTTTTTTTTAGTCAATTCTAATCATTAGTTTTTTAATATCCTGTTGATATTAGATATGAAAAACGTCTTTATTCTTAATTTAACTATTAATTATTATTGATTATTATTATTAATTTGGTGTCACACAACACATAATTAAAATATATTTAATATAAAAAAAATGATTTTTCGTTTTGTTATTCAGCACCATTATTAAATTGGGAATTATACATATCAGCCACCTAATTTATAAATAATAATAATAATAATAGTTAACATATATATATATGTCTTCTTATTATATATAATGAATATTAAAATATTTTACTTGATCATTAGTAGTTGCTTCTTCAGGTTTCTTATCAGTTCTTATTCTAACAAAACGTGGAAAACGTAATGAAACACCTTTAGATGGATCAGCCTAAAACATCAAAATATATAATCTTAATAATTATTTTTAGATGATATTATAATAAGAAAAAAAGTGTATAACTTTACTTGTCCTATTGCAGCTTTATATATAGGAGATTTACTAATATCTGCTGCTTTTATTTCCCAGACTTGACAAGGTTCAAACCAAACATCAGGTTTAGTTGCTTTATCATAATTATAATAACTTTTAGCTCCTTCAATTTCATGTTCCTTAAGGAATTTGTAATGAGTTTCTAAATCTGCATCAGAAAATCCTGTACCAAGCTTACAAATTGTTTGGTACTCTTCATTATCTGGATCAAAGCATGCAAGAAGAAAAGTTCCATAAAAATTGGTACGTTTTCCTCTTCCATAATCTGCACCAATAACCACAAGGTCCAAAGAATCTCCTGTTCCTGTAATATAGTCTTTTTTAAGCTAATACAATAATAACAATAACAATAATAATTATTAAAAATCTAAATAAATATTATATACATCTATATCTATATATGTATATATTACTTTTAACCAATTCCTTGACCGTTTAGAAGGTTCATAAGATGATTCAGATCCTTCATAAATTTTTATCATCAAACCTTCACAATTATTTTTAACACTCTCATCAAGAAATGATTGGATTTCCTCAGTGTTAGTTGCAATAATTTCATGTGCAAAGGCAAATTCTCCTTTGATTTCTTGAAAAGAATTATACAATAGTTCACGCCTTTCAATTAATGGTTTCTTGAGAAGTGACTGTTTACAATGGTAATATGAATTTATATTTGAGAAAAATTGAATCTAATCATTACTATTATAAATCTGATAATAATAAAATTAGTCATACCTCTCCATTTAGATATAATAGGTCAAATGCAAACAAACAAACTTTGACTTTTATGTCTGATCCTTTAACATCTTTTCTTTTCCTTGTACTTAACACTTGAAAAGGAAGAAGACAATCTTTTTCTAGATCCCATGCAACAACTTCACAATCAAGTATAAAAGATTTTATACCATGTTTTACAAACTGCAACAGATATTAAAGAAAATTGTTAAAAAAAATTTTTATACCAAATTAATAATTAACTTTCAAATATATTAAAATGTCAAACATTCCAATGATCATTGGTTTGTCTGTTGATGAAGATATAGAAGAGATTAAAAGACCACATATTAGTAAAACCATTGACCCTAAGTGGTTTGATGATTATCCATGGTTTGAGACTGAATCTGTTAATGGAAATACAATTTTATACTGTAAAGTTTGTAGAAATTGCAATTGGGAAACAGTACTTGCAAGAGGCATAATCTTTATTAAGGATAGATAGAATTAAAAACCATATGAAAACCACTGAGCATAAAAAATCTGAAGAATTACCTAGATCGAATATTTCAAGACAATTAAGCACAGAAGAGTTAGAAATTATTTCTAAAATGAGAATTGTTTATTGCTGTTCAAAATAATATTTCTTTAAACACTTATCCTGATTTATGCAAATTAAAATCTCTACAAATTGAAAATAAGAAAGAATTAATAATTAGTAATAAAACCACTACCTTGAAACCCGCCTCTTTAAAAAACCATCACCATCTAAAACAAAATATGGAAGTTATAATAATCATGCACCTGCTGTCGAATTCTTAGATAGTATAGCATATGTAATTAAAAAATCACTCTTTGGAGAACTAAATTCTTCAATTTATTGAAGTGTGATGATTGGTGAAGCCAATAGTGGGCAAATATATCATCAATAATATGCCATACATGAAATATTTGGGTATGATTAATTTAGACACAACTGATGGTGAAAATATATTTAATCAGATTATATCCTTTTGCACATCAAAAGAGATATCTTATCATAATATTATTCATTTTGGAAGTGATGGTGCTTCTAATATGATTGTATGAATTGATATTTAATTAAGTGAAATTTTTTTTTTTTATGTTAACTAATCAAAATTTTAATTAATAGGATATTTAAATGGTGTTGCAGCAAGATTTAAAAAAATCAATCCATTCATGACCTCAAATCATTGTATATCATATAGACTTCATCTAGCTGGCAAAGATGCATCAGAAGAGGTCACTTATTTTGGAAAATATGAAAAAACTTTAAAAAATTTATATAGCTATTTTTCAAAATCTCATAAAAGACAACAAATATTAAAGTTGATGCAGCTAACTATATTTGTATTTTTATATATTTTATTCATTTATTTATTCCTAATTTTTAATAACCTTCATCATAATTAGAAAATTAATGAAGAACCATCACTTGTAATATTAAATAAGTGCAATACTAGGTGGTTATCATTTTCAAATTCTGTAAGTAATTTACATAAAATCATGAAATCTGTATTATCTACCCTGAATGATTATATTAATGAAGGAGATAAACTTGCAGAAATTTTATATGAACAATTAGATGACACTTTTATTTTAGCAACAATGTACCATGCTGATTTAACAAATATTTTAAAGAAATTAATCAATACATTCCAGTTGGAACATTTATCCATATCTCATTTAAATTAAACTTGATATTGCAATTAAAACAGTTTGAAACTGAATTTATAGGATCTGAAGAGATTCCACCAAAATATTCAAAGAATATTTAGAAGATAACCATAATTCTATCCCATCATTTGTTAGAGAATACTCAATTGCAACCATTAATGCCATTAAGAACAGATTTCTAGAATCTGAATTATATAATGCTTTAGTATTTTTGATCTAAAAGAACTTCTGGATGATGACAGAGAGTTAGTCTTATATGGAAATCAAAAAATAGAATTTTTAGGTAACTTTTATGGAGAAAATAAATTTGCAAATGAAAATGAATTTAGTGCAATATTTGATAAAGAAAGACTTATAACAAGAGTGAAATTTAGTTAAATATTATCTTCAGATCTATAAAAATAATAATAGAGAAATGTATTTATTCAATTATGGCAACATATTTTGGATACTGATGATGATTTTTCTTTTAATAATCCAACTATAGTATTAGTTGTTAAAATAGCACTACTTATGCCTCTTTCTAATGCTCATGTAGAAAAAATATTTTCTCAAATGAAATTAATTAAAAATAATTGAGGAATAAAATGCATTTAAATACATTAGATAAACATTTAATGATTTTATTAAATGGCCCAGAAATTGATGACTTTGATTTTTTAAAAGCATATGAGAATTGGGAAAGTAAAAAAAACAGGGAGAAATAATTAATTTTTTTATTTTGTAAAATTATTGTGAAAATTTCAAAGTTATGTGCACACATTATGTGTAACGTGATACGTTCCAACTGAATTTTCAACACTGTTACGGAATGATTATGAGATTAATTTCAAAGATCTTGTGGTTGTTGTGCAATGAACCAAAAAGGTTGCTCAGAAACAAAAACAGCTCATTGGAAACCATTGATATTTATTCTATTATGACAGCCTTGATCTTCAGCAGAGCTTCTCTTGATCTTCTACATGGCACACAGCCACCCCAGTCACTGTATGTATCCCACTGGCTAACTTGATGAACATAGTTGATGACAAGATAATAAATGATCAAAGTTTTAAGCAAGTAAAAAATATTCAAGAGACAAATTGGTTTGTTTTTTATTTATTTTTTATTTATACATCCCAAATCAAAGGTCAAATTGATTGATTAAATGTTTTTTTCAAGTCTATATCACTATAGAAGAATAAATTTCGATTGTTAAAAAAATCAACTAAGCTTTTTTTTCCTTAATTAAAAAAAAAAGATCCTTTGCAAGGAACCCCTCACATGAATCAAAAGCTATTTGTGAATTTCAATTTTTCCTAGTATTTATTTATTTTATCCCAGATTAAAGGTCAAATTGATCAATTAGGTGTTTTTTCAAATCTATACTATAGAAGAATAAACTTCAATTGTTAAAAAAATCAACCTTTTTTTTCTTAATTAATCAGCATGTTCATAATTTTTCATTAATCAATGATTTATTGTTTTCTCCAAAAGGGAATCAAAAAAAGATTTGTTTTCTCTGAAAGGAAATTTCTGAAATGGTCAAAATCCAAAAAAAAAATTTTTTAATTATTGTTTGTTTATCAAACATTAAAATTGACAACAAAATAAAACTAACATGTTGCCGATCCTTTGATGATCTGAGGTAAGACAAGACCATCAGTTTTTGGTCATTTTGAACAGTCCGAAACATCAGAGCAAGACAAAGACTTAATGGTAGACAGTGTTGACACCATGCAAAAAACATCTAAAGTAAACATGATTTCCTTTCAACCCTGACGCTTTGAACCAAATTTTTCAGTTTCACAAATCATGACAAGCAGATAGCAATTGGGATTCGTACTGTGAGATAGTAAATCTTGGACCTATCAATTACCCGGTTAATATTGACCAATTAGAACGAAATTTACTACGGAGGTCATGTGATATACTAAATATTATTATTGTAACGGCTACGCCGCACATTGTGCAGTGTCATATGAAAGATTATATTTCTATATTTATATTTATTAACCTACTTATCTGATGTAAATATTTATTTAGAATTAGTAATTAGTTGATAAGCACATTATTGGAGAGTAGGGTATCACATATCACATTATTTGTACTGCCCCAAGAGGTATAAATACACTTGGCTTTGGACCAAGTTAATAAGAATAATTAATTAATCAATTGTTAATATTGTTGATAACTACCTTGATAACAACATAATAATAACTCTTAATAAATATATAACCTTACATAAAATAGTCTTTGACTGTAAGTAACTAATAAACCCAGTGTGATTGACCCCCAGCCCTTCTAATGGTTAATGGTCTGGCCAACCTTTAATTATTAGTTGGGAACCCTTTTATCCAGGAAGATAAAAGTTATTTTTATTATTAATCTTTGACTGTAAGTCAGCAGATAGGCTGTGTGTTGAGCATTAAATAACCTATTAATTAGGAAACTCGAATTGCATGCTCACAGCATGATACAGTGATGTAAAAATAACCACAACCATTTATCATTTTTGGAAATGAAAATATTTCTGTTTAAATTTCAATTTTATTAATTAACAAATTTCAAACCAATTTGCAAATCATTTCAAGCCAGTGCAGTAAAGAAAAAAAAAAGACTCATCACAAAGTTTTACCCTTTGATTTTGATCTCTTCCTTCTCCAAAAATTCAGTTTACCAAAGTTGAGAAACAGGACGTTTAGATTTGTTTCATGGTGATTTGTACTGAACTGACTGAACCATCAGGAAATTTTTTCTGATGCAGATTTACATAATTATTACACTATTTACGTAAGTTTACAGCAGGCCCATAATATTATGCAAATAAGCATACAAAAATTATACAATTATTACATTGAGTGTAAATATTACATAAATATTGCAACTTTACATATTAAAATTTATGGACATAATATTGCGGCGGGGAAAATTTCCTGATGACTGAATCTGAGTCTTCTTTACAACGAATTATTTCCCATGCAACCAAACATTTCAAAATTGGGTAAAGTCATTAGATTAGGGAAACATATGGTGCTGATCCATCTATAATCATTAATTGCTTATAGCAACAATTGGTCAACTTCAAAATACTAAAACAAAAAATAATTGTATCATTTTAAAAAATTTAACTGATAAGTTTTATTTTTCATGACCCAAGCTTCAAAACTTATCAGCTGGTTTTTTCTTAAACTGAAAATTGGCTGAGCCTTAACATTTTGAAAATTCCGAATTTTGTTATACACTTAAGAAATTGAGACTAAGTAAATTTCGTGCAACAACTTTTTTTCATAGAATATTTTCTACAAATTACATTTGATTAATTTGACTCATTTATTTCCTTTTTTTTTTAAAAGTTCTTTACAACAAAAAAGTTTAGCGAGCATATTACACAGTGAGTCTCAGTATAGTGGACCTTGGTATAGCAGATTTGGGGGTTTTAGCGGATAAATTTTCAAAACCAAATTTTTCTATAACAATTTTATCTTGGTTTAACGGATTTAACGGATTTTTCATATATAATAAATTCGGTTTACCAGATATTTTTTAAAAATTCATATTAATATTAATATATGTCACTTGTAATAAATTTTTCTCGATATTACAATAACAATGATCTTTACTATTTTGGGCTACTAAGAGTAATTAAATAAGAATGTAAAATAATTAGAAATAAATTGTAATAATCAGCAATACATCCACAATTTAATCTAACATATCTCTAGCTATTTCTTGGAAATGACACTATCAATATGTCATTTCCTTTTATTTCTTTATACGCTAAAATCGTAAATATTGTAAAAGGACAAAGTGAAGTTGATGACGATGAAACAAATGAAACAAATGAGCCTGAGCTGATGATCATTAATATGGAAGCTATAAAAGCTCTGGAAACTATACTTAAATATGTACAGCAAAAAATTTTGACATTTCTAATTACTTGAAAATCAATATCTAAAAGATTAAAAAGTGAAATTTCTTACAAAAATTCTCAAGAACAAGTGCAAACAAGAATGGAAGATTATTTTATAATGTCAACGTTTTAAGTGAATGAATTGGTTTTTTTAATTTTTTTACCAACTGTATTTTTATCATCATCATTATTATTTGCATTCATATTATTAAAAATAAAATTAATTTTTTATGTAACATGTATCACATGATTTAATCAAAAATTCAATTTTTTACGGATGTCTCGGTATTACGGATGACTCGGTATAGCGGATGTACATTAAAAGAAAATCATTATCAAATTTGGTCGTGAGATTCAAAATATTGTAACACGAAAATTATTGGTTCACTTCTTAGCATAGATTAATAGACTCCCCTTTTAAAGCTGAATTGAATGGTGGCGAGTTTTTTAAAATCCAATGTGTGAATCACATAATATTTCAAAAATTTTAACTTGAGTATAGATGATCCGCACTGTAAAGAAAAAAAAGGGAAATATTACACAAAACATAAAAAATCAACAACATTTAGCAAGGCACCATAACACAGCAACCTTTTCTTCTTTTATGCATGTATGTTAATAAAAACAAAAAAATTTTCCGCAAAAAAATATTTATTATTTTAATAATAATAATTAGAACATCTGGGTTCCACACATTTAAACTCAATTATTATTAATATCTAACTTAATTTGACAATCTGTCTATGATGTGATAATTTTTGAAAAATTAATTTCATTTTGAAAAAACCTTTTCTCATATGAAACATTTATGGTGCCAATTTGCTTTTTTAAGTTTTGGAGTTTTGAAGTTTTAAAATAAATTTGGAGTTACGCATAGTGATGGGAATTTTAACCTACACTTAACAACTTCAAGTTATTAATAGTTAATAACACTTATTAACTGTTGCATTCTGAGCGAGAGTTATTAATCCAAAAGATCCATTTTGCCAATCAATCCTGATGTGTGCTATGCTAACCAAATTTGGCAGATTTAAAATAATTATCAAATTTGGTTAACATGCACACTACACATACTGAATTTTATCGGCATTACGAAAACATGTAATGTATGAACCCTTATGTATGTAACGTATGATTTTTATTTCCATACATGTATGAAAATGCAGATCATACATACATACATTTTTATTAAATTAATATAA